CCCCAAAACCCCAAAACCCCAAAACCCCAAAACCCCTTAACTCTGTATCCAAATTGACGTAATATAATCATTTTAATAAGAAAATCTTAATAAAATTAACCCAATTCTAGAAGATGAAAGTAAGTTATAGTTCACTTAAAGTCTCTAGATTTTAATAGCAGACTTATTCTCGCCAGCAGGAATCAACACCTTAGAAGAACAGAAGCACGAGGTCATTTACGACAAGAGCCTCTCTGGAGATAAATTAAATGAAGCTCTTAGCACTCATCAACCAGATGTCTTGATTGTAAGATCCACCAAAGTTCCAGCTGAAGCTATTGACTCTAATGCAAACCTGGCTGTAATTATTAGAGCAGGAGCTGGTTATGATACTATTGATGTAGCCCATGCATCCACTAAGGGAGTTTATGTAGCAAACTGTCCAGGAAAGAATGCTACTGCGGTAGCTGAGCTTACAATGGGTCTAATCATCAGCATTGATAGGAGACTTGGAGAAAACTACAAACTACAGAAAGAAGGAAAATGGAGAAAGGGAATGTTTACTAAATGCCTTGGCCTTAAGGGCAGAACCCTTGGACTCATTGGTTTTGGAAACATTGCTCAAAGAGTCGCTTCCAGAGCACTTGCTTTCGAGATGAACGTCCTTACCTTCAACAGATCTGGCAAAACCATCGAAGGGGTCACCGCAGTTGGCACAATTGATGAACTTTTGACACAATGTGACATTGTTTCTCTTCATGTGCCAAACAACAAGGACACTAAAGGAATGGTCAACAAGGAGTTCTTAGAGAAAATGAAAGCTGACGGAGTCTTGATCAACACTGCAAGAGGTGCAGCTGTAGTTGAAGAGGATCTCGTTGCCCACCTTGAGTCTCATGAAAAATTTTGGTTTGGAACAGATGTTCTTCAAGGAGAACCATCTGAGAAAGAATGTGACTGGGAACATCCTTTGGGAATGCACCCAAGAGTCTATGGATCTCATCACATTGGTGCTTCAACCATTCAGTCAGAGAATGAGATTGGACAAGAAGCAGTCAGAATCTGCGAAGTTTTCGCATCCACTGGGTCTGTAGACAATGAAAACTGGGTAAACAGGGAGAAATCCTCCTCCAAACAGACAATTGTTGTAAAAGCTAAAAGAACTCCTGAAGTATATGGTGATGTTTTCTCAGTGATAGCTAAGCATGGATGGACAATTGGAGAAAGTGAGGCTCTTTTATGTGAAGGAGGAGCTGCTCTAATCCTCAAAATTGGTGGAGAAGGTCCTGAAGACGTCGCTGCTAAACTTTTGGACCATGAATCTGTGCTATCTGCATCTGTATCTTAACGAAATAGAAAAATCAGTGAAAAACCTCCTTAAAGGGGTTTTGGGGTTTTGGGGTTTTGGGGTTTTGGGG